GTCTCTCATACTTTGGACATATTGTGAGGAGGCACCAGTTGCTGGAGAAGAATATCATGCTTGGTAAGGTGGAATATCAGAGAAAAAGAGGTAGAGCCCCAATGAGGTGGATTAGCCAAGTGGTAGCATCAATGGACTCAAGCGTGGCAACAGTGATGAGGTTGGCCCAGGATCGGGCAGTGTTTCATTCTGCTGTGCATAAGGTCTCTATGGGTCGGTACTGAATCGATGGCACCTAACAGCAACAACATATCTGTGGTTGTGGTGGTTATGAGCTGTGGAGTCATTTCCGACTCATAGCCACTCTGTATAGGGTTTCCGAGGTTGTAAATCTTTACGGGAGCAGAAAGCCTCATCTTTCCCCGGCAGAACAGCTGGTAGTTTCAAACTGCTGACCGTGTGGTTCACAGTCCAATTCGTAAATCGGGCTGCGAACCGCAAGGTCAGCAGTTTGAAACTACCAGCTGTTCCGAGAGAGAAAGATGAGGCTTTCTGCTCCCATAGAGATTTACCGCCTGGGAAACCCTTTACAGGGTCTCTATGAGTCGGAACCGACTCCACGGCACATAAACACCACCACCACATTACCAGAGCTCCTTGAATATATCTGTAAGGGTTGTATATTATCATTATTCCACCAGACTGTGATCACAGGAAGGGAACCAGATCTTTTGTATTCTCTGAAGTATTCCCAAATCCTAGCACAATGCCAAGCACATACCACCAAGTTGCCACCGATTAGAGTTGACTTATGATGCCCCTTATGCTGTGTTCTATAGGGTTTCCAATGACCAGTTTTTGGAAGTTGATCACTAGTCATTTCTTCCATGACACCTCTGGGTGAATTCATACCACCAACTTTCTGGTATAGCTGAGTGTAATAACCATTTATACTGCCCAGAGATTCTGCAGGGCACATGTTGTTGATGTTGTTGTTGTTGTTGTTAGGTGATATTGAACTTATTCTGACTCTTAGTGACCCTGTTATGTACAACAGAATGAAATGCTGTGTAGTCTAGGTCCATCCTCAAGGTAGGTTCTCTGATTGTGATCATTGTTACAGCCACTGTCAGTTCATTTCACTGAGGTTCTTCCTCTTTTCACTGACCCACTAGTATACCAAGCATGATGCCCTTCTCCAGGAATTGGTCCCTGCAGATGACATACTCAAAAGAAACAACTTAACATCTCATCACCCTCACTTTTAAGGAGCACTCTGATTGCATTTCTTCTAAGAAAAATATGTTTATTTTTCTGGAAGTTTGTGGCATATTCAATATTCTTTGCCAACACTAAATCCCAAAGCATCAATTCATCAGAATCCCTTACTCATTTTTGCATGCATATAAAGCAAGTGAAAGTATTGTGCCTTGATTCAGAAACATCTGAGTGCTCAAAGTTTTTTTTTGTCAATTCCTTCAGAGCAGCTTGGACATCTTTCTTCAGTACCATCATTCTTGATCATCAGCTACCTAAAATGTTTGAATGTCAACAATTTTTTTTGTTTTGGTACAGTGACTGAATATACCTTCCATCTTCTTTGGAGACTTTCTGTATAGTTCTATTTCTTGCACATTGTTGTTGTTGTTAAGTGCTGGCTAGTTGGTTCCAACTCATAGAAACCTTGTATAGGGTCTTTTGGACCAAGATCCCTGTGCTGAAACTTCTTGATTAGTTACATAGAGCTGTGATATCACAGATGGATGGCTAGAAAGAGCAGCAGATATAGTAGAACTAAGAGAAGACATCCATGGAACAAGGTGATTAAGTGACTTTCAGCAGGAGAATGTGTGATATCCTTGGACACTTAATTAGCAAATCTAAAATAGTTACGTAACACTTGCTGAAATAGGACAGAAGTCAAGAGATTGTGGGTTCTGGCTATGCACATGGGCACTGCTGAGAAGAGAGTGCACTCATCAAAGAACTGCATCCTGAGCCTGAATTACTTCCCTAATAAGCTCCGTAACAGTGAACATGGTCTGGGAGTTCTGTGTTGCCACTGAAAAAAATTACAGAACCCAGAAGGAAAATAAAGAGGTGATGATTGATTGGTGTCAGAACTGGTAAAAATAATTGGAAGGTGAAGCAAGTCTGACCTCTGCTTCATAGAAATCAATCCTGGGCAGGCAACTGATGGTAATACTTTCTCTCCCTGGTGAAATTAGAAGAGGTCAAATGTCAACCCCATGACATTTTTACAGGTAGTCTCAATTCAGGTGGATGTATTTTGGATCTTCTGAATTATATTTTAATTTTCTTAAGTTTCAACTTGAATTTGCATGTGAGCAATTAATGTTTGTTTCACATTATTCTGGTTGATCATATTGAACTTTTCCATGCTCTATTTCCACAGGTGTAGCTGATTTTATTCCTGCATATTCTGTCCAGTGAAGTCCACATATAATGTCTATGTTGTTTTACAAAAGTAGTTATTACATCTCTGATGAATAACTACTTGGTCTTTCAAAATTCTATCACATGACCTTCTGCATCATTTCTATTGCCAATTCAATGTTTTTCAATTATTAATAGTTTTTTTGCTTCCAACTGTCACATCCCAGTCTGCAGTAATTATCAATGCATCTTAACTGCATGTTTGATCAGTTTCATGCTGCAGAAGTTGGTAAGAATCTTACCAACTTCTTCATCTTTGGCATTATTAGTTGCTATGCCTTAGAGGTCCATGGATATTATCCTTTCACTGACAGAGTTGTACTTCAAGATAGATCTTAAAATGTTCTTTATAATGATACATGCAATATTATTCCTCTTCAATTTGTCATTCCAAAGCATACTAGTCTGCATGATTGACTTATTAAAAATGGGCAAAATAGTTCATTTCAGCTCACTAATGCCTAAAATAACATTTTTTAAATATTCCATTTCATCTTTGACTTCTATTTTTTTCTAGATACATACTTTGTGCAATACATGTTCTGATTACTAATAGATGTTTGCAGCCACATTTCTTCTCCTTGTGAGTAGTGCTACATTAGTATATGAAGTTTTCAAAAACTTCACTCTATCCATATCACTAAGGTAAACTCTACTTGAGGAATCTTCTCCAGCCAGATTTTTAGTGTCATTCATTAGCACTACATCACAGTGTCATACTGGGATTCATAAAGTTTTCATTGAATTTTTTTTCTTCTGGAATCAGATTTCCAGGTTCTTTATCTTAATCTGTAAGCACCACCATGAGCAACCCTTCTGGTATTTGAAATAAATGTGGCATAACTTCCAGCATCACAGCAATACAAAAGACTCTACATTACAACAAATGATGAATAGCTTTGTTGTTGTTGTTGTTGTTAGGTGCCATCGAGTCAGTACCAACTCATAGAGACCTTATGCACAGCAGAATGAAACACTGCCTGATCCTGGGCCAACCTCACTATTGTTGCCATGCTTGAGCCCATTGATGCTGTCACTTAACCAATCCATCTCGCTGGGGTCTTCCTCTTTTTCTCTGACCCACCACCTTACAAAATATGATATCCTTCTCCAGTGACTGGTTCCTCTTGGCAATATGTCTGAAGTATGAGAGACGAGGTTTGGCCAACTTGACCTCCAGGGAGCACTCTGAGTGCACTTCTTCCAAAATGGATCTATTGGTTCTTTTGGCAGACCATGGCACTTTCAATATTCTCCTCCAACACCATAACTCAAAAGCATCAATTCTTCTACGGTCTTCCTTATTCACTGTCCAGCTTTCACATGCAGATGAGACTGTTGAAAATACCATGGCTTGGGTCAGGTCTTCAAGTTGATATCTTTGCTCTTCAACACTTTAAAAAGGTCTTGTGCAGCAGATAATTAGACCCGTTATAAAGAAATACATCATTATAAGGAAATACCATAATTGGGTCCATTATAAGGAAATATATCACAGCAATAAAACCACTTGTACACATGTGAAATCAAACAACATAAAAGTATGAGACATTTTAGACTGTAATCTCTCTGCCAAAATAATAATTTGACTATTTAAATATTTAAGGTTTATTTTGCTTGAAAAATAAAATTGTTAATTATTATTTTATAACAAGGAATTAATTCAATTACTAGTTGGACAAACAATTCCAATGCGATTCAGACAACTAACTCTAACACCATTAAAACATTGGGTGCTAAAAGATTATACAATAGAGATTTTTTACCAATAAGAACTAAAGGAAGTTTAACTACAACATGTAAAGTAATAGTGTTGTAGAAATAAAATAAAGAAAAGGTAAGTCCTACAAAGTGTCTTTTTTAAAAATTAGAAAATTACTTGAAAGCTCAGAAATTATTCCAGGTCCTGACATAAAAGCTCTTAAGGATTTGCATGGTATCAGACAGGGAGGTAAGGAAAAGAGATTATAAATTATACTACATTAACAATTTTGAATGAGTTGATAATAAGTTTTAGTAAGTAATAATGTTGAAAACTTTTTGTAGATAGGAGGTTTTTTGTTTTATTTTGTTTTTACCATCACGGGCTCTTTTAAAATCATCACTGAGAGGTCTAGTAGAATGCCAGTGTACAAGTTCATCAAATTCTTTATTGTTAGAAAGAGACTTAACAGCTGGATCATCACTGGGAAAACAAAAACATACATTATAGAATATATGTGATATTTTATTTAGCCACAATCTCTATCCTTCATGTCCATAACTATAAATGCCCCAACTGTGGTTTTAAAAGCTTAATGTAGCTCATGAAGTTATAGTAAAAAAGTATGCAAAATATCCATAGTTTCATCAGCTCTATCTATCTAGATGAAAATACATATTAAGAATTTAGTTGTTTGTGGCATTGAATCAAATAACAAACAATAATTAATTACATATGGTTTCATTTGTATAAGATGGAGATGAGAAACCCTTCTGTAATATTTTAGCATGTGTTGGTGTTTGGGCAATGTTTCAAGCATATAGAAAAGATTGGAAAATAATATAACAACCATGAATCTATCATTCATTCATTGAAAGCCCACTCTGTACCAGTGCTATTCTACATGCTGAGGATATGATAATGAACAAAAAAGAGTGTCCAGTTCTTCATGACCTTGTGAGACCACTACTCTCCATACCCTCCCACACTCACATTTCAGTATACTTGGTCTCATTACCATTCACTGCTTAAAAGACCAATCCCAAAGAATTAAGTTTAATGTTTGAAATACCTAAACTGTCCTGAGATTAGTTCCAAGCGATCAGATATTCCTGCTCATTTCATTCTTCTTCAAGATCTATACTTCTGATGTCATTATCCTTTACTACCAATCTCCAAGCTTAATTACAAAATCTACATCTATGTCTCTGCTAAACATTTCACCATGTCTTCTGGATGAACTGTCGTTATTAATTTTATATATTTATAACATTTCCTTCTTCAACTTTCTCTTACTAAAACCTAGGTTTCCCCTAATAGTTAAGTTTCCTTTGCTCTTCTTCAAGTGGTAGCTAATTGTTCTTTCAGTTATCCTCTGTGATACTGGACTGGACTCTGGACTGCAAAGTCAGTTTGAATAGAAAAGTCTTCAGAAATCCTATTCAGGGTCACTATGAGTCAGAACCAACTCAAGGCACTTAAAACAACAATAACAACATTGCACTTGCATAAGGAAATCTCATAGTGAATTAATAAAAACCCTTGGCTGCTAATCAAGAGGCTGGTGTTTGAAACCCACCAGCCATTTCATAGGAGAAAGATGTAGCAGTCTCCTTCTGTATGGGGCAGTTAGTTCTTCTCTCTGCCATAAGGTCACTATGAGTCAGGATTGACTCATGCCTCAGCAGTGTTTTGTTTTGTTTTGTTTTTCTAATTGGATGTATAGGCAAGTTGGTGGTGCTTTGGATTAGGTGTTGGGCTGCTAACCTCAGAAGTTCAAACCCACCAGCTGCTCTATGGAGAAAGATGAGGCTGTCTGCTATCATAAAGATTTACAGTCTCCAAACCCTATATAGGGTCACCATGAATCTGAATCAACACTTGGCAGTGGGGTTTGGTTTATAGATAATTTAATGCCCTCTGTGCTCCTCTTTGGTGTTTCAGGACCACTGTTTCTCCTTCATCTTCACTGAAATATATGCCTTCTGTGTTGGACTTAGTGATGTTGTTAGATGCCATTGAGTGAGCTCCAACTCATAATGACCCTAAGCATGACAGAACGAAACATTGCCCGGTATTTTTCCATCTTCACAATTGTTGCTACATTTGAGCCCAATCTATCAGGACTGATTGATAGATTTAGCAAAGAGAAATAAAAGACACCCAGATAAATTTTAATTTCAGATTATCAAAGAATAAAAGCACATTGTTACTGTGTCTGTTCTAACTCTTAGCAACCTTTCTTAGAATTTCTGATCTTATCTGTCTTTATGGGAGCAGAAAGTCTTTCATCTGTCTCCCACAGAGAGAGTGGTGGGCATTGACTACTGACCTGTGGTTAGCAGTTCACCATTTACCCTACATCACCACCAAGGCTCTTTATACAATTAATAAGTTATAGTATATGTATGCCTCTTGCAACCATGCTCCACAGTCAACTGTAAGAATCATTTTGTTGAAGTGGTCAATCTTGCTTGTTCCTCTATTTCTTTCACTAAGCATGAATTACTATTTCTCTTAAACTAAATATGGATTGGAGTCCTGGTGTGATATTGTAGGGAATGCACTGGACTTGTAACCACAAGGTTTAAGTTCAAGTTCAAGACCACTACATGCTCCTTGGAAACTCTATACAGAGTTCCTCTGAGTCAGAATTTACTCAACGGTACTTAACAACGAATATGGATTACTATATTTTCCCTTAATGCTTCTTCTGTCATCATTTGGAATAAATTCATGATCTACATAGATGTTTTCTCTCACCATTAGCTTTTAAACTTCTATATTTTGACTAACACCATTGTTGTTATTGTTGCTAAATGCCATCAAGACAGTTCAGACTCATAGCAAAATGCTGCTATACCTGAACCCATCCAATGTATCTCAAGTACAGTCACCACTTTGGCCACTGTACCAATCCCTCTCGACTATAAATCATGTTGTATCAATTACAGAAAAATAGATAAAAATGACATTTCTCCATGCAAGGAATTAAGGAAAGTAGTTGAAAGAAGATATATACCCATTCCTTACTTGCCAGTAGCCCTAAATTCTGAAAACCTGATGCTGTGAAAAAATCAGTATTATTTGAAAATGAAGAATGATCATACCAGATCACAAAATGGAGGATGACTATATCATTACATAACTGCTAATATACATTATTATGTTGTTGTTGTTGTTGTTATATGCTGTGGAGTCAGTTTCAACTCATAGCGACCTGTACAGGGTTTCTGAAGTTGTAAATCTTTATGGGAGCAGAAAGCCTCATCTTTCTCCTGCAGAACAGCTGACAGTTTCAAACTGCTGATCTTGAGGTCAGCAGGCCAATTCATAACCACTCACATCGTAACAGCCAAGCTACTAAGAATCATGGCCCACCCAAGTTGACACATAACCTTAATCATCACAGTCAGCATTACTCCAGCCTCTGTTCTTCACTGCCAGATACGCATTGTCAATGCATAAAACAGTCTAATAGTTTGTTTTTTTTTTTTGCTATGGAGTCTTAGTGTGATGTTGTAGGATAAAGCAAGGTCAGTTTGAACTGCAAGGTCAGTGGTTCAAATTCTCCAGCTGCTCCTCAGAAACCCTATAGATAGTTGCTGTCAGTCTGAATTGACTCAACAACCCTTAACAAAAACAACAGTTTTTTTTTTTTTAAACTACAGTCATAAATGGAAATTGTCAACTAATGAGATCATTGATAAATGAAGGGTTGAATTATAAATATTTTTAAATCAAGAAGAAAAAAGTAAAACTCACTAAAATCCTCATTAAAATATATCTTCTAAGGTGAAATTTGCTAATCAAATGATAAAATACCAAAGCAAACCCAGCCTAACACATTCAATGATATACAACTATGTATAGGTATCACAAAACAGCAAAATTTCTATATATAAATAAATACCTGCTGAGAAAAGGCAGTTCTGCAAGAATATCTCCAGCATAATCTTGTATAAATTCAGATTTCAGAGGGATTAACCCTGGCTTTTGAATTTCTTGATTTGGTCCTTGGCAGAATTGGAAAAACAATTAATATTTAAATACCAAAATCTGATTAAAAATAATCATTGTGATGCAAGTTTTGGGGAATAATAAAACTATTTTAACCATTTATTGCTACGTTAAATAATACTGTCACAACTTAGAATATTAAAATCAAATTTATAATCAATATGTTAATTCAAAAATGCAAAATATATATTTCAGTACATTTAAGTATAATTTCAATTTATTGAAATACAGTGAATAAATCATTATGTAATCCAAGAAAGACAAGTATTCTGGCACACAGGAAGAAAAAAAAGGAGGCCTCTTTTGCTCTCTACCATGTCAAAATAGATAAATGATAAAGACTAGAAAATTTTTCTAAATTTAAATTTAAACATTAAAATGAATAAAATACATTCATACTTCTGCATCATTGATTTGTTAAACTCAAAATAAATTTTATGTAACTTATCTAATTTCCAAATAAAATTTTCTGTATTCAAAAAAAGGAAAAGAAAACATTGCCACGGAGTCAACTTCAACCACATGAGTATCCAGACCTAATTTTCTAAAAGAAGACAATAATGGTTCATTTATAGATTTCTTGCCTTCCATGTCAGAAATTGGAGTTTGAACTGCAAGGTCAATGTATATCAAGTACAGTCACCATTTGTTTATCTGTGGAGACTCGGTGTTATTACAATGGTGAACAGTGTTTCTGTGGAGCTTGCAGAAAAAGACAGACTAGGAAGAAAGCCCTGGTGATCAACTTGCAACACAGCCAATGAAAACTCGGTAAGTTAAAAGGTTAAACAGTTGTGCATATGGTCCCCATAAGTTCAGAGCAACTGGTAGATGACTAATGACTTGAAGTAAGTTAATTTCAATATGCTACGTTTTATTTAAATTCAAGCTGATTTCTTCATATGGGCTTTAATGCAGCTTTTCCTCTTTGTGAAAATACAGTAAAAATAATATAAGCTACATGCTGATTATAGAAGCAGACAGACATGAGTCTAAATTGCCTATCATTAATTCATTATGTGATTTAAGATAAATTAAGAAAAATTCATACAAAAGAAAAGCATAATATCTGGTATAATGGGTACTGAATAATGTTAGTTTCTTTTCTTATGTGGTCACTCAAAACATTACCAACAACAAAACCAATGAGACGTGAAGGGTTGCTGTGAATATGGAAGCTAATCAGTAAAATTATTCCTTCAAAAGGCAAAATTTTCAGAAGGCTACATTCATTTTCTAAACAATGGTTTGTTTTATTACTAATCTGATATCAATTTAAAAAATTTAGCACCTCTAGGTATCATCTCCTTCTGTCTAAGAAATGCTCTAGAAGTTCTCCTTAAGGGCATGGCTCCTCCAAAATCACAACCTCCTGATAATGTTAAGACTGAGTTCCACAACTTCTGATATTCCTGCATCAAAGTGTCTCCCAATTCCAAGTTTAGACCTATGGAGAGAGAAAAAGAAATGTTCCAATTAATAATTAAAGTCTAAATGAAAATCATTGTATTTTATGTTTCAAGAGAATATGAGTTATTTAAATCTATGTCTGTAGCTATTTAATCTTGGATGCTTAAGACAAAATACATTAAGTTCTGGCATGTTTGCATATTATGAATGTTATTATAAGGAATCAAAGTATGTTTGAATTTAGTTACTGGTGTTACTGTATTTTCCTATCACTAAAGTAAAAGCAAATGGACCAATGAGAAGTCAGCCTATAGTTCAAAGATGATAGCCCAAAAAACTCAGGAAGTCAACCCTGAGGAGTTCTGAAAGTCATGCTGGCTGACATGTGCCAATGAAGGACAGGGTTTTCCCACTGCGCATCTTTGTTTTTCAGAAGTTGCTTCAAACTTATGCATCTTTATAGTTTTCAAACTTATGCATCTTTATAGTTTTCATGTGAACACTTTGTCCAAAACCATCAGCAGCAAAGCTAGACTGTCACTGTATACCAGATGCATAATATATATTCATCATACTCCTTTAGTCAAATGTAATTAGCCTTCCCTTTTTCCACTTCAATAGCTGATAAATACATTAGCTGAGTTAATCTTGAGAAAATGCAAACCGTCAATGGAACTTTGTACTTCATATGAAAAATGAAGGGTTTCCATAAAAACAATCTACAAAGGAAGCTTTCTACACATTTGTAATTGGTTGATAAAGGTCACTGTCATCATTTACCATATATAATTCTCACTTCTTCAAAACAATGAAAAAAATATTATATAATGTATTTTAAATACCTGTGCAATAATCAATTTCATAATAAAAGGCTATATTTTTCCATAAAATATTATCTGTTAAGTCAGGCAGACCAGTGAAATTCACATTCCAATTGCTATTAGCCTTTAATTGTTTTAGGATGAAAAATTCACATCTTTTTAGCTAGAAAAAATGTATGAAAGAAAAGATTTAGGGCATGTTAAACAGTTATTAAATATTACCAAAGTATTAATATTTTACTTAAATTCCCCTCAACATGATCTATGCCTTATACTAACAAATTTAACTGCAATAACATTAAAAGCAAAGCACCTCATCCCTGAAAATGATAAAATGCATGACTGTATCCACATAACTTTTCTCTGTTCCAGTTGTCCAACTATGAATTTGTAATATTCATTACCTTAAGGTAAATGACCACTGAGGTAGCTTGCAACTCTAAAACTAAATGACTCTTGAACTCATCACTTTAATGTACTCAGTAAAGAATTATTTATTGACTCAAAGTAACAAAATCAATACATAAAAGTAGTGAGTATTTAATTGTTAATGTCACCTGTATACATAATGGTACTTTTCTGACAAGGCCTATGCAATGAAATAAGCAATGTAATATTGCAATAACACAATTATGCTTGAGTTTGTTATACTCAAATTGAATTATTGAATTTATTTTATGGATTTTTAATACTTCACAAGGCACTGCTTTTTCTTTATGTAATTTAGCATACTTTTACCTCATATAGGAGCCCTGGTGGCACAGTGAGTAAGCACTCAGCTGCTAACCAAAAGATTGATGATTAGAATATGTCAGTATCTCCAAGGGTGTGGCAGAGATACAGCAGGGCAGCAGTCTCTTTCTATAAAAATTTACAATTTCGGGTACCCTATGGGACAAGTCCAATCTGTTCTAAAGGGTTACTATGACTCAAACTTGATTCATGACAATGGGCTTGGTTTGAGTTTGGTTTTATCTAGTTAGCTATGGCTAACTAGAGTAATTATCCTCTAAGTAGACTTGAATTATAATAAAAGGAATCATAATAAGGGATTTTTTTTTTTTAGCTACAATATTAATTCAAATATAAGAGTCCCACTGACTGATCTAAAACACCAGCTAAGAAGCTCTGTGTTAAGCATGGAAATTAAGCTTATTAAAGTTGTACAACAGCTAACAAATAACAACTGTATTCTTTTATTCTCTATTTAAAGTAATAATGAAGTATAAGCACACATTTATGTAAATTATTCACTCATTATTTTAATATATATAAGTCAATAATGAGAATTTCTTATTTACAGAAATTATAAGCTTATTTATAATTCTTTGGAGAATGAATTATTTTATAAATAATAGGTCAATGATTTTCATGTTGATACAATTATTCCTAGAATGTCCATTGTTTGATAACAGCAGATGGCAATTAACAATAACAACAACAACAACAGTAAAACCTAAATAAATACAAGCAATGCATTATATAGATACATTTTTTTTTACCTTACTGAATTGCCTTATAGAATTATTAAATGCCCATAAATAGCTATATGGTTCACCTACCATTCTTAGAAATGGTGACAATGTTTTGTCCCAAATATGAGTAATAATTCTACTCTTAGCTCTTTGAAGCAAGGATAAATGTTGAAGGAAAATCACACCAAGACAGTGCATTCTGCAAAGGTCTCCTGCATCATCCAGAGTTAGTGCACTCTCCAACTCCTGAAAAATCATGAATTAGAAAAGTATCAACGTACACATTTGCCATATAAAATACAGATATACAGTTGCAGTGTCTTAAAAGACTCTATTCATAATTCTTCTGTGTGCTACATTTATATTTCAAGATTATTTAATTTGAAAAAAATTTCATAAACACATGATATATTTTTCTAAATGATGACAGAGTTTGCTATTAAGCAGATGTTTTAGCTTCAAGGTATTTGCTCTGCAAGATAGGTATTACAGTCTCATAATTATGGTACATATTTCATATTAAATATAGAACCAGAATTCACTGCAGCATCTGTACTCACTATATAGACTGTTTAAGAATGACCACCTATTTTGAAGCATGTTATTTGCCAATCAGTCAGTTTTAACTCATGGCAATCACATATGTGCATAGTAGAATTGTTCCACATGATTTTCAAGGCTGTGATATTTTGTCTATTTATTTACAGCCTCTAGAGCAGTAATGTGAAAAGGGCTTTGAAGCTTCCAATTGTCACATTTATTCCTATCTGGGAGATCAGGACTAAAGAGAGAGTATGATTTCACTGCTGAGACAGTGTAAGTAGCAAGAAAAAAGTATCTGCATCTCAGCTCTGCCACCAATTGACTATTTGACCATTATTCACTTATAATCTATAAAGTGAAATAATAAGAATAGCTTCCCTATAGCAATCTACAAATACAAAGCAACTCTGATCCAGATTCCAATATCATTTTTTAACAACATGGGAGGAGGGGAACCCGAATTATAAACTTTATATGGAATGGAAAGAGACCCCAGATAAGCAACATACTTCTAAAGAAGAGCGAAGTAGAAGGTCTTATAATTTCCAATCTCAAAATCTACTATACTGTCATGGCAGTCAAAACAACCAGGTATGGGCACACCAACAGACACATAGGACAATGGACCAGCATTGAGAACTTAGAAATAAATCCATCCTCCTAGTGTTTTTCTTGTGGAGTTGGTTCTGACTCATAGTATAGGGTTTCCAAGGAGCAGTTGGTGGGGTTCAACCACAGGTCTTATGGTTAGTAGTCCAGTACTTATTGCGGACAGCTGATTTTTTACAAAGTGTCAATAATCATTACATGGGGAAAAGACAATATCATTAACAAGTGAGGGTGGCAAAACTGGATATCCATTTGCAAAGATATGACCTATATCTCACATCACATATGAAAATGAATTCAAGATGGATCAAAGATGCAGATGTAAAACTTAAATCTATAAAGACCATCAATGCAAACCTAGGGGTAAATTAGGCACCCTAGTACATGACATAAATATACCATCAAATATAACAGAAAACTCACAAACAGCAGAAGACAAAATAGATGACTGAGGACACTTATGTGCACCTAAAAGTCCTAATGTAGCCCAGGATTGCTATGAGTCGGAATTGACTTGATTGCACTTAACAAAAACAACAATGTATATCAGAAGATTTCACAAAAAAGAGTAAAACAAGAATCAAGAATCCACAGATGGGGGAAAATATTGGCAATAATTTATCGGACAAGGAACCAATCTCTAAAATGTATAGAAACCCACAACACATTAACAACAACAAAAACCAAATCCAATTTGAAAAATGGCCAGAAAACATGAACAGAAACTTCACTAAAGAAGACTTTTATACAGATAACAAATATATGAAGAACTGCTTGCAATCATTAGCCATTTGTTGTTGCTATTAAGTGCCATCAAGTCAGTTCCAATTCATAGCAACATTTATAGGAGCATCTGGTGGGGAATTTGAACACCTGACTTTGCTGTTAACAGTCCAGTGCTTATTCTACAGCCCCACATCATGACTTTAATTAGCCATTGTTGTTGTGGTTGTCCTTGTGTGGTGTCAAGTCAGTTCCAACTCATAGAAACTCTGTATAGGTTTTCCGATAGTGAATAATGTGTTTGAACTGCCAGCCTTACAGTTAGCACAGTCAGCAGTCCAATGTTTTTACTACAGTGCACACCAGGGTTCTAATTAGCCATTAGAGACATTAATATCAAAACAATAATGAGATATCACATCATTCCAGTATTAACAGCAAAGTTCAAAAAAGAAAGAAAAAGAGGGAAAGAAAGAGAAAGAGAGAAAGAAGGAAAAATCAATGAGTGCTAACAAGGGTATGAAGAAATTATGTCACATCAGGATCTAGTTAGCTGTACAGGGTTTCCTAGGTATGGCTGTTGCACTTGAACTGCTGATGTTGTGGTTCAAATGAACTTGCAGTCCAGTGCATTAACCCACAGCGCCACACCAGAACTCCAATTAGCCATTAAAGAGATTAAAATCAAAACAATAATGAGATGTCATCTCATCTCAGCATTAATAGCAAAGTTCAACACAAGTAACCAAACTAAAACAGAAAACAACACATGCTGATAATGGTGTGGAGAGAATGTGTCAGCGATTGGATTTTGTCCCCCTCAAATATATGTCAGCTTGGTTGGGCCATAATTCTCAATGGTTTGGCAGTCACTCAATGATGTAATTACCTCCCCATTATGTGACCAACCCTGATCTGATATAATTATCCTGTGTCTTGTAAATCTTCAATTCTATGATGTTAATGAAGTCAGATGCAATCTATAGGATTAGGTTGTATCTTGAGACAATTTCAAAATATCTTGAACTCAGAAAGAGTTAGTACCACTAAAATGGAAGATCCAAGTGGAGTGTGTCCTTTGAACCTAGGTTTCCTGCAATGTAAATATTGATGGCAAGGTGCGTGGAGATCTACAAGGACTTCTGCTCTCTAAATTCAAGTGGGATATGTTCAAGGTCATATTTTGGTGCTCTTGGACTTGTTTTAATTTTCTTCAGCTTCAGCCTGAACTTGCATATGAACAAGTTGATCTGTTACACAGTCTGCCACTGGCCTTATTTGGGTTGATGATATAGAGGCTTTCCTTCATCTCTTGTCATAGATGTAGTCAGTTTGATTTAGTGTATTCATTCTGGTGAGGTCCATGTGCATAATTGTCTTTTTTTTAATTTGTAATGAATAAGTAATAGGTCTTGCACAATTCTATCATTCAATCTCTAACATCATTTCTATCACGAAGACCATATTTTCCAATTACAGATCCTTCCTCTTCATTTCCAAACCTTGAATTAAAATCACCAGCAATTATCAATATATTTAATCAATTTCAGACTGAAGGAGTTGGCTTGTAGATGATGCACACATTTGAGTAATATTGGTATTAGCATGTCTTAATTGTAGGTGTATAAATGCTAACCTCCTCAATTTTTCATTTTGGCATGTGATTGTCAAATTCAAAATGACCAAACCCAGTTCATTTCAACTCACTAATGTCTAGGATATCCATCTTTATGTGTTCCATTTCATTTTTGGAAATTTCCATATTTCTTAGATTCATACTCCATACATTTTGTGTTTTGACTATTTATGGATGATGGTTAAACCTGTTTCTAATTATTTTCAGTTGTGCCCTATCAGCAAATGAAGGTCCCCAGAGCTTGGCTTCATTCTTGTCATCACGTTCGACTCTATTTTGAAGAGACAGCTCTTCCTCAAATGCGTTTTGAGTGCTTTCCAATCTGGGGTTCATTTTTCAATACTATATCTGACAAAATCTGACAATACTATATCTGATACTATTCATAATGTTTCAATATTCAACAATTCTGGTGTAATCTGACAGTGTTCCACTGCTATTTATATCAATGCCCAAACATTCAAAAGTAGTCTGTCTCTCCTTCTTCCTAGTTTGTCTTAGTCTGCAAACTCAAGTGAAACCTGTCAACCATGAGTGACCCTGCTGATACTTTACCAATGGTATACTTTATAGCATCTCAGCAACATGCAAGCCACCACAGTACGACAAACTGACAAATGAGTAATGGTCATCTGTCATATTACCTCATTGCATATGTATCAGTTCTTTGTTGGCCTTCCTTTATTCATTGTTCTACTTTCATATGCATATAAGGAAATTGAAAATACCATGACTTGAAGTAGACATACCTTAACCCGCAAAGTGACATCTTTGTTCTTTAATATTTTAAAGAGGTCTTTTGCAGCAGATTTGCTCAATGCAATATGTTATTTGATTCCTTGACTGCTACTTTTATGAGCATTGATTGTGGATCCAAGAAAATTAAATTCTTAAAAGCTCCATTTTTCCATCATTTATCATGATGCTGTCTATTAGTTCAGATATAAGGATTTTCATTTTATTTACATTAAGGTGCAATCCATACAGAAGGTCCATCTTTGATCTTCATCAGAATTGCTTCAAGTCTTCTTCACTTTCATCAAGTAAGATTGTATCACCTGCATATGTCAGGGTTTTAATAAGCATCCTCTAATTCAGAGGCCATGTTCTTCTTCATCTAGTCCATCTTCTTAAATTATTTGCTCAACATATAAACTGTATAATTACAGTAAAGTTTTACAACTATGAAGCACATCTTCCCTAATTTTAAACCACATATTATCCTCTGGGGCTTTTTTAATGGCTTATTGTATCTTGGTCTATGCACATTTTTCACAAGAACACAATTAACCATTCTGGAATTATCATTCTTCACAATGTTATTCATATTATCCCATCAATGTATTATTACATTTTTATGTATAAGATTTTTTAAAAATCTTTTACCCTGTTACTGGTTTCTAATTTTTAGTGGTATGATTGAGAAGATGCTTTGCATTATTGGGATATTTTAAATATTATTGAGGCTTGCTTTGTGGGATAACATATGATCTATTTTGTAAAATAAACCAAGTGTACTGGAGAAAAATGTGTATTGTATTTTTGTTGGATGCAGTGTTGTATATATGTCTATGAGTTCAAGTTGGCTGGCTGTTTTGTTCAGATCTTCTGTATATTTGCTGAGTTTCTTTCTTGTTCTGTCCTTCATGAAAGTGGATATTAATGTCTCCTACTATTGTGGCGCTGTGGGCTAATACGTCAGACTGCAAAGTCATTAGAACTGCAAGGTCAGTGG